AATTTGGGAATGCAAACATTTAATTTAGTTCACCTGGCCACATAGGCATGTGAGACTTTTTTTCACCAACTGGCGTTCGTTGTCTGTTAACCGTTACACAAAAAGTTAATAAAAAATATTCCTTTCGGTATTTAGTTAAAAATGTGTCCAATGATCCCGCCTGCTAACCATTATATGGCCACCAAAGCTAGAATAGAACATAGGAATGTTTAGTATAACAGGTTATAAGATAATAAACAATAAAGAAAATAAAACAAAAACAACAAAAAAACCAGAAGAGAACAAAATCGTTCAGTGTCAGAAATATATACAATGTAAATATCTACTGTTTGACGACCCCTTATATGAGTAATTGTCCTTAAATGACGAATTTTATCATTTTTGCGATATTGGCTTTTATCTTGAAAACTATAAAAGATGAAGTGATACAGTTAAGAGCAACACAGATTAGCGGATGACCAAAATTGTCAGGCAACTCCTTATAAGAGTTATTGCTCTTGAATGATTAGTTTAACCCATTTCTATGATTTTGTAAGAGACTACAGAAGAATAGAGAGTGATAGAATCTGCAAATAACAAAAATGACCAATAGGACCAATATTGGATGTTGGATATGTACTGATTGACATTTTAGTCTTAGATACTTAGATTTTTTTATTAGTTGTTATTTGCTTTGAACTAGCTGTCAGTAACTGCCAGTACTATCAGATCTGTACTTTGTGTCTTTGTTGTTGTTAGGGATGTAAAAATACCCTTTTTATAGTTTGTCATTATGTAGTGCTGTCCAAGGTAAGGGGAGGGTTGAGCACCCACAAACATGTTTAACCCCACCACATTCGTTATGTGCCTGTCCCAAGTCAGGAGCCTGTAGTTCAGTGGTTGTCATATTGTTTTTCGTAAATGGTTTTGTTATAAATTAGGCCGTTAGTTTTCTCAATTAAATTGTTTCATATTTTTTATGTCAGGGCCTTTTATAGCCGACTGTACGTATGGGTTTTTCTCATTGTTGAAGGCCGTACGGTTGCCTATAATTGCTTCCACTTCATTTAACTTTGGTGGATAGTTGTCTCATTGACAATCATACAACATCTCTTTAATTTTATGTAGTAGATAGATAGAAACTTTCAAATAGCAAAACAGATCAGCTGTTACAAGGAAAAGCTCTGCTTACAAATCATCTTGGCCGGTATCGTTAAATTACTCCTTATATGCTCCTGAATGATGATTTTTACTCAATCTTATGGGTTTATAGTAGATAGAGATAATCTGTAAATAGCAAAAATGATCAATGTAAGATCTACAAATAATTCAATATGACCGAGGTCGTAGACCATAGAAAGAGTCCTTATAGGAATTATTGACCTTGAAGGGAGATTTTTACCCATTTTTCTTGTGAATTTTTGAAGAAGCTGTTACAGTAGTAAATAGAGAACATGTAAAAAAATAAAACTGATCAGCTAGTCAAGATATACAAATAAGTCAATATATCCGAAATCGTAACTTAACTCCTTGTACAAGTTATTGCCTTTGAATGATGATATTTATCTGTATTGGTTTTCAGGAAGCTGAAGCAGATAGACAGAACTGGTTCAGAGCAAAAATAATCTGCAGATCTACCAAAAAGTTATCCGAAATAGTCGATTGACTCCTTATAGAAGTGTTTGTCCTTAAATGACGACTTTTACCTATACTAATTTTGTGCTTTTAGTTGATAGAGAGAAAAATACAAACAACAAAATGTCAGCAGGACAAGATCTACTAATTAGTCAGATGTTCAAAATTATAGTCGACTCCTTCTACGAGTTATAAATGTCCTTTAATGATGATTGTTTTTCCATTTTTGTGTGGGTTTTCGCGAAAACTTGTGTATATAGAGAAACTGTAAAGGACCAATAATGAACAACAAACAGACTATTTCAATTTCTATTGTAATGAATGAGGTCAATCATCGTCATTGCACATTCGGCTCTTACTGTGACGTAATAACATAAGCATTGTGATATTGGAAATGTACGGGAAAAAGCAGGAGTGTCAAAGTCGTCGAAAATCAAATAATTCGTCAACATGATTGAAATCATCATTCTTCTCCTTATAGTAATTTTTGGTTTTACACTTTTTTCTTATGCCAGAAGATATAGGAAATCTTGTTTTACCATTGTATTGATCGCTTGTCACTTGTACACACATAATATTTCAGTCCAAAATGTCTGCAGTGTTTCTCGGTAGCCGTAATCTGCAACACTGTTTCCAGTATAAACAACATGGCATGGAGGAAGGTGTTGCTTGTCTTTGAGGTTCTATTTATACGAATATTTTTATGAACTATGAAGGACTCTGTTTTCAATATGTGATGTCATCAATTATGGTCACACTTTAATACTTTGGAGGTGTTTAGGTAAAATTTTGATAATCCAAACTTTGTGTCAAGTTTCAATTTTTACTAAAATATATTGTGGTTAACCTAATTGTGGGAATTAATTAGCAATCTACTCTTTGAATACAATTTTGATATAATCTAAGCTTAAGTTCAAGTTCGAACTTTCTACTAAAATAAATGTTTGACATAAATAATAAAACAAAATGCCAAAGCAGTAACCGGTAACCATAAAAATACAAATAGATGGTCAAAGGAATACCATCTATAATATAAGTATATAACCATAAAACACGGCATGAAAGAGTAAAGATTGATTAATTGTACTACTTAGGATTAACCCGTAGAAGATGTTCTAACTCCACGTCTTACCCTAGTTTATTCCAATTTGAAAAAAAAAAAAAGGTTGAGAGGTGAACCCCTTTACATATGAAAGTGACAAAGCAACAAATAGATTTTTTATAATGTCGGGACGTTTTACACGTACTATACGGTATGGGCCCATACGGAGTCCTATGGCTGCTTACACCCACGGCATTTGATCCGTAGTGGATAGTTGTGTCATTGGCAATCATACAACACATCTTTTTTTTTATATTTTATACTTTAAAACTTTTTTTTTTTAAATTATAAACGATACTCTAACGATGAGAAATTGATACAACCTAATTTATCTGATAACAACATTAAGGATTTTCTTTAAGAAAGTGGAGAACTGGTTAATAACAATTTGTATTGATTTCCAGAAGATATGGACCTTTCAAATTCTTGTGAAAGATTTGTAGATATGAATTTTTCATTCATTTGAAATGCGGTTCATTGTTATATCAAGATACATATTATTATATAAGTGTTTGTTAAAATGTGTTATTGGAAATATAAATGCAAATACATGATGTTTTATTTCACTATTTATCGAGATAACTGCATTAGAAGCTTGTGAAATTGAAATTTAAAAAATATTAATCTTTTCTGCATATTGATTAAAAAAAATATGGAAAAAATCTGAAGCTCTTTTAAGTCACCAATTTTCGGAATGTTCCTTAGCATGTTACAATTTCCCCAAAAATATCCTTTTTCCACATCTTAGTTTTCGAGTACGCCGGTCTGCTCTTGTCACGTGAACTTTCAATATAGAAATATTGTCTATTAGTGAATATAAAGATTCAAAAGTTGTGTCAGCGCAGGTTTAAAACAGCAAAGATAAATTTTTAACAAACAGGATATCCTTCAAAGATTTTTAATATTTTTTCCACAATTTTAAGAATAGGTTGTCTCGATTTTTGTACATGTACGGGCATTCAATGTTGGGATAAGTCCGTTTGAATTTCCTTAGTAACTTAATTCAATCTTTGCTGCATATCAATCGATTCTGTTGGTAATTTTTCCTTTACTTCTATGATCTAGCTGCATACATATATGGCATGTTCCAGAGAGGTATTCAGCAAGTAGAAAAATAAATTGAGGTTGGCACTCTAGGCATTTATCCGCATACATGTAGCAGCTTCTGTATCCTTGGGGGACTTTTGTATGTTAAGGACACAAATAAACACGAATAAGATTGTTTTTGTTCTAAAATTTTGCTCTCAATAAAAATAAGGTCTGCTACCCGCATTGAGGTGGCACGGTAGTATTTACATTCCGGAATTTAGGTTGCTCTTTTGTGTACTTAAGTCAATGTATCTGAACAGTGTGATTGGACAAAATATACAGTATCTACTGATCATACTTTTAAAACTGAGGGATGAATCAGGTGTAGAAAAATATGAAATAATTTTACATGCAGGTGAAAATGAATTCTTGAGAATTTTTTTAAATTCTGCATTCACTGCTTGATAAAAGACCTAAAAGCACTAGTGGCCTTAGGTTTATAAAGATAGCAAAAAAAAGTAAACGGTCATGACACATATTCAAATTCATTTCTGAATATTATAATGAAAGTACTTCAGTTAACTGTGTATGTAGAATTTTGAGCAGTGTTAGAAAGTGGGGGAAATTCTAAAAAGGCTATCATTATCACAATGGGCCAGGAAATACTACCGTGCCCCCTTGACAAGAACATGAGAGCGAGTTGTTTATCAAACCGAATACGGAATAACCCTTTCCGATTCCGGAATGATACAGATACCAGACTGTGAACTAGCAACCCTTATTTAATATTGAAATTATGTATATAACACAGCATTTTAAACCAATCTTACACAACTTTCCTATGGTCTGTTGTAATCGTCGTTAGTTTAAACAGTTTTTATTAATGAAAAAATATAACAATGTAGTAGTACAATGTTACATGAAATTCAAATATGTTGTACTCGTCGTTTGTTATAATTGGAGGGAAATGATATGGAAATTTTGTTCTTATTTCAGTTCGTTTAAATTTATTGTTACTATTTACAAAACCTTTTCTTTTTTGTGAATTTATAACTATTAGCGTCCTTGCTAAAGCGGTACAAACTCAAAAGATCAAGTTTTCAGTGTTTGCAAGTGAGATTTCTCACTGTGATCGCTCGACAAGGGTTTAAAAATGCTTTAATATAGGTAATCCTTTTCAATTTATCAATCAGGAAGTTGAATAGTACTATTTAAAGCTCCTCAAATTTTGGGACTTCACAAACAAAAGTCATATGTCAATATAGACTTTATTTAGAAAGTTGGGTGATGTTACTTCCTTTTTTGTTTTCTTTAACGACTTCTGTTTGAACGAGGCTAAGTGACTTAATGCTACTTTAAAGAATTCAATTGTATTAGAAATCAACAATTTTCGATTGGGTAAGTAATTTCGGCAGTAGTTTTGTGCATTCTTTTATTTTTTACTTATTTCGTTTACATTTTTTATTTGACGGGTTTATTAGAAGTATAACAATGAAATATCAAAACTCAAATGGATTGTAGAAAGGTGAGAGGTTTTTTTACTCCGTGTTGAAGGCCTCATTGTGACTTTGAGATGAAGAACAGCAATAAAAGCGCTGTTCCTTTGCTTTTTGTGTGTTTTTTTGCTGTGCATGTACTGATTTTGTGACATGGATGGATACCCATATCCTTTGTTTTTCTATTTATTTTTATTTTTTATTTTATTTCAAACCAGGTCATACCAATAATAATCTACTAATGTTAGGAAATCATAGTTTCACTCTATGGCTATACGTTTGATTGGTTTAAAGTTCGTTTAGTGTTAAGACCTTCGAAATAGAATAAGAATACCGTCGGTTATTGAGTTTGAAACTTTCTATTACTTTTTGTGTTTTCTTTAAACATGTTAAACATAGCTTGTTGCGTGTGTTGGTACGAGACTAAATGTCTGAACGCTGCATAATTATGATATATCAACTTGATCCAATAGTAAAAACTTAACGCTAGGTTGTGCTATTTCTGTGTAGATTTGAGTACTTAATGTTTAATTTCTTTTTCTTTCTTCTGTTCTGATCCTTTGCTGATGGTAAAAACCTCTACATTAACCTGATCTTATCGTCGTTTAAACGATTGATACTTGTCTTGCATGCTGATCCGAGGTAAAACGGGTATTTTATTTATGTTTAATATCATTTTTGTTTAGGGCTTTGGTTTTGGCATCGTAAGAGTAATACTAACAAAAATATGCAAATAATGCAATTGTCTGTTGCAAAGCGAAAAGTTCTGTCCCTGTTTGGTGTTTCCTCATTTTCCAGCGGCTGTCTAAACTTCCCGCCTTTCATTCCTACCTTGCAGAACTTGCTCACAGTATTAGCTGCTAATTTGTTCTTGTCCTGAAAATGCACGAAATACTGGGTAATGGACGTTTAGGAAGCAACAATCAACATCGGCAATCATAATGTATAATGCGTGATGCATTCAAACATACGGGTTCTCTTTTATCATCTAGCGGAGTGTTTTAAGACATAATTTTCTCTGGGCTAAACTACGTCATAACATTTATGACCAGTATAGCTGTGATTCAAAATCTATTTACGCAGACTGTTTCAGTTGCCCTCTTCATAATTACTTTGTTTTAATTGTTAATGTTTTAAAAACGTCTTGATGAGACCAAGTGTTTGTCCGTTTAATTGTAGTCGTCCTATTATCTTGAAAACTTGTCGTACAACAAACAATAGAAATTGTAGGAAGACTTCCCCCACTCTATTCGCAATATTAATATTTGGAGTGTTCCTATTCATTCAAAGACATAATATGTATTTTTTTTATCTATTCCTCGATGTTGTTGTAAGGTGTGAGCTCTTTGCTTCATCGTCAAAGATATTGGAGGAAAATCATGGTTGAGAACAGCAATTAAGCGCTGGATGCAAACTCACATACTATTTTAGAATGGATTGACTTATGATGATTAACAATGTCAATTGCAATTGCATTGTGGTTAATGTCTGACCTATGACCGCACATTCGTTTTTCTTCTGTCTTTCGTTTCATCAACCCGAAATGAGAAACTTTATAGCAAACCAATCACCATTTTTGTAAATTTTTTAATTTAATATTCAAAGTTAAGAATGGTATCTTGGAACATTGTAAGTATAATTTTTATTTGTCGCTTATATAATATGAATGTTGCTTAAATTTAAATATTGTATGTTTGTAAATATTTGGAATTTACAACAAAATGATTTGATTTAATTTTGATTTGTAGACGTGTAGTTTCTTAGGGAAAGATGCAAATGGGATTTTCCATATAAATAACAAGTGTTGTTATGTATACTACCCGAACAGTAGAAACGGTGATTCCAGATAGAAGATAGTGAAAACCATCAGTCTTTTAAAAAAAAAAGGGTTCGTCTTTCTAGTTCAGTCAGAATCAAAAACGGCCTCTTATTACTATGTTTTTATCAAACTCTAGATCAAAATTAGTTTCTTTTTTTACAAAAAAAATCTCAATGGATCATTTGTTAAAAGTTTAGTGCAGATATAGATGTAGTTTAAGAATAATAGAAATTGTGATTTCCTTAGAAAGCCAAGTGCATTAATACCGCCATTCTTGATGTATAATCTGAACGAAATTGAGAGTCAGCCAATTATCATTCCATTAAAGTTTCAAAATAGTTACAGAGTAGAAGAAATTTCAAAATTGACTAATTAGAAGTAATAGTTCTCTCTGTCGGTCATGTTTTGATGAGGTGATAAGTTTTCAACCTTAAAAAACGATTCTTGCTAATTTTAGTCCACATTTGGTATGCAGTTTGTGTGAAAATTATAATCTGTAAAGTTTAAGTCACGACTAACGAACGAAGCCGAGTGATACATGTATATACTATAAATTTCATTGAATTGTTGAACAAGGTGAACTCTTATAGTATAATGCATTCAATGGTTATTAAAGCACTGCTACTTTCGTGTGTCCGAAGCGCTAATCTGGATTTATCTATATGAGGTCTGGAACGCTCAAACCCAAACATTTAAATGCCAAGTAGGTAAAAGACCTCACACATTTAAATGCAAAAGTAGGTATAAGACCTCAAACATTTAAATGCTAAGGAGGTATATAAAACCTCAAACATTTGAATGCCAAGGAGGTATAAGACCTCGAACATTTGAATGTCAGGGAGTTATAAGACCTCAAACATTTGAATGCCAAGGAGGTGTATAAGACCCCAAACATTTGAATGCTAAAGTAGGTATAAGACCTCAAACATTTAAATGCCAAGGGGGTATATGACCTCAAACATTTAAATGCCAAGGAGGTATAAGACCTCAAACATTTGAATGCCAAGGAGGTATAAGACCACAAAAGTTTGAATGCTAAGTAGGTATAAAACATCAAACATTTGAATACTAAGTAGGTATAAGACCTCAAACATTTAAATGCCAAGGAGGTGTATAAGACCTCAAACATTTGAATGCCAAGGAGGTATAAGACCTCAAACATGTGAATGCCAAGGAGGTGTATAAGACCTCAAACATTTGAATGCCAAGGAGGTATAAGACCTCAAACATGTGAATGTCAAGGAAGCATAAAACATCAAACATCTAAATGCCAAGGAGGTATAAGACCTCAAACATTTGAATGCCAAGGAAGAATAATACCTCAAACATTTGAATGCTAAGGAGGTATAAGACCTCAAACATTTGAATGCCAAGGAGGTATATAAAACCCCAAACATTTGAATGCTAAGGAGGTATAAGACATCACACATTTGAATGCTAAGTAGGTATAAGACCTCAAACATTTGAATGTCAAGGAGGTATATAAAACCTCAAACATTTGAATACCAAGGAGGTATAAGACCTCGAACATTTGAATGTCAGGGAGTTATAAGACCTCAAACATTTGAATGCCAAGGAGGTATATAAGACCTCAAACATTTGAATGCCCAGGAGGTATGAGACCTCAAACATTTGAATGTCAGGGAGTTATAAGACCTTAAAAATTTTAATGCCAAGGAGGTATATAAAAAGGTATGAGACCTCAAACACTAAATCGAGTTACGGATAATAAAGATAGACAAATATCTTAACTTCTTTGTTTGATTGAAATTTTCATATTTTTTCAGGTGGATATCAAAATAAAGAATGTCAGACAATTTTTCGAATTTATCCGCAATAACAGTGCTGAAAAAAATAATTTCAATAGAGGATTTTTAAGGGTCAGATAATATTAAGAAACTACAGAGTCTCAACAGACTTAGACAGGGCCAATAACTATGGCTGACTGCAGCTGCGTTCGTAAGTAAATCACATTACAAATTCAATAAGACGATGTACCTGAAAGAAAAGAACCAATTGAATGCGTATGCAAATTTGTCGCTGGATATATACTTGTCCCACAAAACTGTTGATAAACATAATCTGAATGCATATATGTGTATGTAATGTGCGAATCCTAAAATGTCATTTTTACTATATCCGTGATGAATTTCTGATGTAGAATGATAAATAAACAGACGACAAATTCAAGATTTTAAATAAAATAAGAAATAATATATAATGTGTACTGTTTTTATAAATTCATGATATAGGTATGAGATGCGGACGGGTTTTCATCGCGCCTATAGCCATCCAGGTGCAAAATTGATACACAAATAGATAAATATTAAGAATAGTTCACGAACAGAGCGTGCAAGAAATTTAAAAGTAGCAATTAAGTTTCATTTGCAGAAAAATGTACCTTTTAACATAATTATTAATGTTGTTTAACTTAAAACAGGTTTTGTTATTCAGCTTGTTGATATTAAATCAAATTCCACTATGCTGTTTTCGTTATGCGATTCATGTTTACTGTCGAATAATGATACTAGACTTTCATTTCCACTGTAGGGCGATTCGTTTCTATTGCATATGCGATGCATTTTCACAGAAGGAAATTAATTAATTTTCATTATATAAAGTCTTAATTCAGCCGACTCTCTAACAAAATTTATGAAGTCAGAAGGATTGAATATATATGCATACTTAGTGAGTGAAAGTCTGAGGCAATATATCAATAAATTCCTTAAACATGGTATTTATTGCTAATATGTTCAATTCTATTTTTTCAAATAATTTGTCCTGATCTATATGTAGGATAAAATTTATTCTTTCCTATGACCCGTCATTATTAAATACATATATCTTGGACAGTTAAGCCAATCCACGTCACCGGAAAAGCAAAGTTTCTGTTTCGGTCTAAATCTACATCGCATACTAATAAATTAAACGTCATTAGAGCTAATTTCCTAATGCTTGTAGTTAAAAGGTGTGGTTGGCCTTGATTGTGTAAATGTTGCCTAAGCATCGTAATTAAGATTGAGCAAACGTTTATACAAACAAAGCAAGCAAGCCAACCAAACCTTTAAACTACAAGCGTTAGGAAAATAGCTCTAATGGATGCATTTGAGATAACAAAGAGCATTCACAAAACGATCTTCATTTCACGATTGAATGAGTGGAAACGTTTTCATCTTGCACAAACAATTGACGCTTGGATGACTGGATAATTGATATTTATCATGCCATTGTGTATACATCTTATACAGTAAAGAAAGTTCGAGCAACAGTCGAGTCACCTTAAATATGCTTGAATTTCTTATAAGTCGGTGTTACAAATAAGCCAATACGCAATTGTGAGAATACAAAGAAATGTTGAAAACAGTTTATTTTTACATGTTTAAATGGTTCTATACCACGGGGTATAACCGCCGTACAGTTGATTCCGGACGTTAATCGCTACATCGCGAAGCAATGTTGGTAGATATACCGTTCTTAAATTTACACCAAAGACTAATTGACTAACTGTTCAGTTAAGTATTCAATGTTTATGAAAACAAAGTTTACTGCTCCTGGCAGCATTGTATATCATTTATATTACATGAACACCATGTAACTATTTTAAATAGACATTTCTGTGAATTACTTGTAAACATGGCGAAACAAACACTATGTGTAACTCAAACTTGATTAAACTACAAATAGAGCATAGTTGGTTGGCTCTTTCACTAAATGCGACCGTGTATTTTGTGCTTTGTTGTTGTTAAAATACATAATACGAATGAGAAACCCGTTGTTTTAATTTTATTTGAAGACATTTACTTGAAAAACTGACCTCAGAATTTTGACACTGTACGATTCATTCTCTTTGTAGTTTGTTTTCTTTCTTTAGTACCGTTCGTTGTACATTCTTGTACTGTTCGTTGTGCAAATGCCTGTAAATACGGTAGAAATATGTACGACACGGCGTGACAAATGTTCAAAGCTTTTTTAAGCGAGTTATAAAACTTTTCAAAGAAAATTCGTCGTAGATAAACGTTATATTCATGGATGTTCTGCTCCAGTAAATTTTCAGATCCATGACAAGCAAATAGCAAACTCACCAACAATATTTGAATATTCATGATATGAACGTGGTTATACCCGTGTATATTCAAGTAAGCATCTACGACTAGCTTGCATTTCAAATTGTAAATATCATCAATATTAAAGTCATTTAAAAACTATTTTCAGTTGTTGTATGTCGAATAATCATATAAAACGACAATGAAAATTCATCGCACTACCAAGAATTCCACATCAGAAATGATTGCACTTACAGTGATAATTCATCGCATCTATAATTAAAATGAATCGCATTCAGTAATCAATATTATGGATTCTGCTGCTTAAATAACACTTTTTTGGACTTTAATCCTGTTTTATACATTAAAAAGTTATATTCTAATGAAATTCTGTCAAAACATACATTCAAATCTATTATTTTGTATTTTCAAAAAGTAAACAAACGCAGTTTTTCCCATCATCCTTAATTCTACAATAGACATACTCGCATACAACAGTGAAAATGAACTAACTGGATTCGCACTTTATATACACTGGGTATGATGTTTGCTTATATTCTGTGCTACTTTTCATTCATTCCTAAAGGATAAAAATCACGGTACAGAACCTGAACTATTTTAATGTCAACAATAAACTAAATCATGGCACTAAATTTTTATTGAATTCAAATTATATACATTAGCTTTTTCAACAATTAATAACAGATATGTACGACAACAATAGTACGTAATAAATGATAACAGGTTGTAATTGGCAGTAGCATTTTCTGTGTTTACATTGCCATGGTTTTCATTCAGAATCACTTATTAATAATCAAATCATTACCAACTGCACCAAAATAATGACAAAAACACTACAATAAACAGTTTTCATAATGACGACGATGCTTCCTTTGAAACAAAGGACCAATTTTAATTACAATTTGCATATACTTACATACTCTTCCCCCTTATAACTAACCCACTCATCGTAAGCTTAAAACACAATTATATTTGATCTATCTGTTACAGACTTACATGACCTTGATTTGAAATATAACAAAGAGAATGATGCAACGTTCGTAACAACGAAGGCAGTTGAAACCATTACAAAATCAGTAATTGAAAGAATCACAACAACAATTATTGGCAAACCTGGAATTGGTAAAACCTCCACAATAATCCATGTTGCTCTGAAAATGAGGAAAAATAATGGTTACAGAGTTATTCTGTGTCATAGTCCATCTGATATTGAAGCACATTTTAGGGCAAACAAAACTCAATTATTTATCCTTGATGATGTACAATGTATGTGGAAGATACACAATTAATCAATCCGCTGTAGAAGAATGGATGAAACATGAACAAACCATTTTGCGTATCTTAAGTACAAGAAAAGTGAAGCTGCTTATTTCATGCCGATTGCAAATTTATCACGAGAAACAATTTCAGCTACTCAAATTTTTCACTGAGAACTTCTATAATCTTTCTTCAGAGGAATTCTGTCTTTCAGCTGAAATACGACTTAAAGTTGCAAAGAAATATTTACCGGTTAATGCTGTAAAACTGATAGATAACAATTATCTTATGAAATTTGGCATATTTCCTTTGATGTGCTCATTGTATAAGAATAATCCGAACATAAAAGTTAGTGAGTATTTTGAAAATCCATACAATTTTTATTTGAATGATATCGAAATACTTAAAAAACAAAGCGATAAACGCAAATTATGTGCTTTACTTTTGTACGTCTTACACAATGGTTTCTTGAGTGAGTCAAAGATAAGTACAACCAGTAGATCCTACTATGAAAATATTTTTGATGAAATTGGTCTAAATCGGGGCACTCCAGTTTGTGACATTGTGGAACAATTGGACACACTTGACCATACCTATCTAATAATAATCAAGTCAATTCTATGGAACGCCATAGCTGTCTTATGTGTCTTTTTTATTGCTTTTCTATTATACGAAGGTGTTTTTCTATTATACGATGGTGGTTTTCTATTATACGAAGGTACTTTTCTATTATACGAAGGTGCTTTTCTATTATACGATGGTGGTTTTCTATTATACGAAGGTGCTTTTCTATTATACGAAGGTAGTTTTCTATTATACGAAGGTGCTTTTCTATTATACGATGGTGGTTTTCTATTATACGAAGGTGGTTTTCTATTATACGAAGGTGCTTTTCTTTTATACGATGGTGGTTTTCTATTATACGAAGGTGGTTTTCTATTATACGAAGATGCTTTTCTATTATACGATGGTGCTTTTCTATTATACGATGGTGCTTTTCTATTATACGATGGTGCTTTTTTATTATAATAAGGTGATTTTTTATTATGTGATGGTGGTTTCCGTGATTAACCGGAAGCGTGGCGTGTATTTGAATGTCATAGCTGTCTTATGTGTCTTTTTTATTGCTTTTCTATTATACGAAGGTGCTTTTCTATTATACGATGGTGGTTTTCTATTATACGAATGTGCTTTTCTATTATACGAAGGTGCTTTTCTATTATACGATGGTGGTTTTCTATTATACGAAGGTGCTTTTCTATTATACGAAGGTAGTTTTCTATTATACGAAGGTGCTTTTCTATTATACGATGGTGGTTTTCTATTATACGAAGGTGGTTTTCTATTATACGAAGGTGCTTTTCTTTTATACGATGGTGGTTTTCTATTATACGAAGGTGGTTTTCTATTATACGATGGTGCTTTTCTATTATACGATGGTGCTTTTTTTATTATAATAAGGTGCTTTTTTATTATGTGATGGTGGTTTCCGTGATTAACCGGAAGCGTGGCGTGTATTTGAATGTCACCGAACCAACATGGCGGCCATGGCTGTGAATACTAAAATGTTAAACGTTTTACAGAAATTAAACTTGCAGCAAGCATTTCTAAACTTTGAGAGAGAGAAAATCACTCCAGACATTGTATGTAGGCTTTCGACACATGAAATTGAAATATTAGGTGTATCTAGTAGGGCAGATATGATGAAGTTAAGAACTGAATGTGTAAAATATGGAACGTCTGCCCCTAATAAAATAAACTCTGAATGCGGCCCTCCGAAATTTGATATTCCAAAGTCTGTTCTTGAAAATGGATTTAAAATATCCGACATTTCTAAATTGTTGTCCGTGTCTGAAAGCACCATTTACCGAAGAATGTCACAGTTTGGATTAAGCAAAATGAATTTTACACAAATTGATGACAGTGATTTAGACTTGACACTTGGACAAATAATGAAAGAGTTTCCATTGTGTGGCGAAACACTATTGCAACAGATGCTTCTATTAAAAGGCATAAGAGTACAGAGATGGAGACTAGGGAGTGTATGCATCGATTAGATACCGCCGGTGTACAGGCGAGACGTACTGGTAGGCTTAATAGGCGTGTTTACAATGTAATTGGTCCAAATCACCTCTGGCACATAGATACAAATCATAAACTTGTCCGGTGGAGATTTGTTATTGTAGGTGGCATTGACGGGTTTAGTCGATTGATAACATTTTTAAAATGTACCGACAACAACACATCAAGAACAGTTTTGGATTGTTTCTTCTCCGGTGATGCAAAGTATGGGATACCCAATAAAGTTAGGTCTGACAAAGGATTGGAAAATGTTTCTGTGGCAAACTACATGTTGATTCAAAAAGGCCCAACAGTATGGTAACGGGAAAAAGCACTCATAATCAACGGATTGAGAGACTATGGAGAGATGTGTATGAAGGTGCGCTTAGTTACTTTTACAACTTATTTTATTTCATGGAAGATGAAGGTTATCTAGACCCACTAAAACTGACAAACTTAGCTGCTCTCCACTTTGTTTTCATGGACGAACTAAACAGGAAGCTTCAATTTTTGGCAGAGGCATGGGCTGGTCATAGACTACGCACTGTTAATTCATCTCCATTGAGCTTGTGGACTTCAGGTCAACTTCAAAATGCCGTAGGAATTACCGAAGGAGAAGCAAATTTGCAAGATTTTGGAATTGAAGGCTATGTGGATCAAAATGATGTAGAAGAGGGCGAGAGACTAATATTTGGACCCCTTGCACGCATGATAAGTGATCAATGCAGGCTGGATTCAACTCGACAATTGATAAGAAGCAATACTAACTTTGAAATAGATTATTATCTTGAATGTTTGGAAGTCATTGAAAGAAATAACTAAACTGGTTATTAAAACTTATTTGTAATTTACTAAATTTCCTTCATATCTTGAACGTAAATGAATAACTGCATAACTTCTTTATATACTTAATCTTATAAAACCCCATGACTTTTCAACAACTTCAAGCTTTACAGTGGTATATTGGTTATATGTAACTGTATTATTTTGTGTAGAGGTAGTACATGTACAATGTACAGATCTGTATATCCTCTTACTATTTTAGTATTTATTATAAACAAATTTTCTAACTTATATGGACGCTGAGTTGGCAATTGTATTGTGCAAGTCTTTTTGCTGCGCGTCTTTCGAATCTTGATAGGAAGTCGAGTAGATTGAGGGGCAAGGTTAGTGTACCCATAAACATGGTTCAACCCCACCACTCTGCCAAGTTTTGACAGAGTGCCTGTACCAAGTCGGGACTTCTCTCTACCTTCTGTACATTTTCCTTTTTGTGTTGTCGCTGTATGTCTCTATTTTTGATGTTTTATATCGAATTATTGCCATTCCTTGTTTTATCTTTATTTTTTATATATAAAGGTTGGCTACATGGTTCAGCTAAATGAAATTCTTCGGTAATGCTTTAAATGAAAACTTATGTAACTGTGACTTTTACATGCATTTAAAGAATTTGGCCGATAATGAACAAATATTTAAATGTTTGTGTTTGAACTGAAAATCATTAATTGTGTCCTGAATATTAAGTCATTGGTCTTACAATTTGCCAAATTAAAAAGTACTTGAACCAGAGACATATAATACTAGAGATAAGCAACTTTGTGAAATCTCGAGAAATATCGCAGCCACATGCTTTGATAAGAATATAACATGTATAAGAGTCATATATAGAGAAAGAAAGTAGTTAAGTTTTCAGAAATATTCCTTAATTTTTCAAAAACTTAACAAGATATCTAAATATACCGATCACAGAAGTTGTAAAAGAAGTATCAAAAATCAACACATGCCCTCAATACTTTGTTATTTAGTAAGTTTCAAAATATTGTCATGATAATATGAAAACTTCATTTTGTCATAAAATGTTCCAGACCGAAATCTCTTCAATTTTCTATTGTATAATATTCAGAGTTTCCAATCTCTTGTTTTATATGTCTCCACTTCAACTAACTATAATCGGTTCGGTTTAGACAGGTTTTACTGTGTCACAAGTATTGCGGGAGTACACAAGTCCATTGATTTTAAAAAAAATGTGTCGGCAAGCTTTAGCGAACAGGTACTTTTCGAAACTGTCCGAGGTACTAGTATGTAGCTGAATGTACTTATTTTTACTATTAGACTTGGGTTAAAACCATTTTTGATGTAATGAAATCAATGCTAATATTTGCGAAAATGCTTTCCAGTGAATAAATTTGGCTATATAGGAGTATCACCTATCTTGAACTTGAGCTAAATTTCATTTCAAGGCATCTTCTACCGTTCACCCACTAAGAACAGTCTCCAACTTGTGTGGTGATGCTCATCTATAACGCAGAGGTGTTTATCTAATTTAAAAGTTTTTTTTAGTAGTATCACTGTTGAGGGCCAAATGCGAGAAATTTTCTAAGAGGGTCTGGGGGGCATGTCCCCCCCCAGATACCTTTTTTAAAACTTAGAGTCATGGTATGAAGATATCAAACACAGAAAATTCAAATTAAATAGATTTTTTTCTACTGAAATTCCTCCAGTCAGGTTTACTAAAATAAATAAACTGTTATCATAGAGATATGTCTCCCTTATTGGTAATTTTTATAATGCATATGTTGAAATTAAAATAGCAACACTTTAACATGCAAGTTTTGCAAATATTCAAAGTCAATGAACCATGGCTGAAGGTACATGGCTAAACAATCTCCATGGAAATGAGATGTGCCAATGCTAATACCAAATACCATTGACTTATCATAATTTCCTTTAAACAAAATTAAACACAAACTAATACATGTAAACTAAGCAAAATTTCAAAGTCAATAAACCATAACTGAGGGAGCAAGGTCAAATAATCTTTGTGGTAATGAGGTGAACAAATGTTATGACAACTGCATACCAAATATCATTGACCTACCACTAGTGGTTCCCGATAAACCAACCTAATCACAAACTAATGCATGAAAACTAAGCAAAAGTTTAAGTCAATAGACCATGACTGAGGGGCGGGGCCAAATAATCTCCATGGAAATGACATATGCCAATGCTTATACAACTGCATATCAATTGTCATTAACTTACCACTAGTGGTTCCCCATAAACTCACCTAATCACAAACAAATACATTGAAATTAAGCAAAAAATTCAAAGTCAATAGACCATGAATGAGGGGCGGGGCCAAATAATCTCATTCCATACGCCAAAAATACTGGACCTACTGCTTAAAGTATCTGTGATAAAGACTTCACCACCAAAACTTAACCTTGTTCACTGATCCATGAAATGAGGTTGAGGTCAAGTGAAAACTGTCTGACTGGCATGAGGACCTTACAAGGTACGCACATACCAAATAAAGTTATCCTATTACTCATAATAAGAGAGAAATTAACATTACAAAAAATCATAACTTTTTTTCAAGCAGTCACTGAACCATGAAAATTGGGTTAAGAACATAGGCCATGTGACAGACGGAAACTAAGTATCATTGAGCATCTATATACAAAGTATGAACAATCCAGGTCTTCCACCTAAAATATAAAGCTTTTAATAAGTTAGCTAACGCCGCCCGATCACTATCCATATGTTGAGCTTTCTGTGAAAAGTCGCAGGCTCCATAAAAACTAAACAAAAAATTCAGTCAATAGACAATGACTGAGGGGACGGGCCAAATAATCTCCATGGAAATAAGATATGCCAATGCTTATACAACTCCTTACCAAGTATCATTAACTTACCACTATTGGTTCCCCAATAATTGACCTAATCACAAACTAATACATGATTCTTAGGAATAATTTCAGAGTCAATAGACCATAACTGAGGGGGCATGGCCAATAATCTCCATGGTAATGAGATATGTCAATACTAATACAACTGCATACCAAATATCTTTAACTTATCACTAGGGCTTCACCATAAACTAGACCTAATCACAAACTAATACATTGTTGACGCCGCCGGAAACAGCATACCTATGTCTCGCTTTATGACTCCATTAAGCGGTACAAAATCTACTTAAAAAATGTTGAACTAACTATTTCATTTTAAAGACTTAATTGATTTTCTTGATTTTTTTTTTTTCGTATTTCATTAGCAATTGGTCCGTCCCTTTTTCAAATAAACTCCACACTTCCGGTTAATCACGGGAACCACCATCACATAATAAAAAAGCACCTTATTATAATAAAAAAGCACCATCGTATAATAGAAAAGCACCTTCGTATAATACAAAAGCACCATCGTATAATACAAAAGCACCATCGTATAATAGAAAAGCACCTTCGTATAATAGAAAACCACCATCGTATAATAGAAAAGCACCTTCGTATAATAGAAAACCACCTTAGTATAATAGAAAAGCACCTTCGTATAATAGAAAACCACCATCGTATAATAGAAAAGCACCTTCGTATAATATAAAACCACCCTCGTATAATAGAAAAGCACCTTCGTATAATAGAAAACCTCCTTCGTATAATAGAAAACCACCATCGTATAATAGAAAAGCATCTTCGTATAATAGAAAAGCAATAAAAAAGACACATAAGACAGCTATGGCGTTCCATACAATTCTCTTCAATGAACGTTTTGATGAAAGTCTACTCCCGTATTCACGACCGCCTTTTTGATGTAATATGCTTTTATTTTGGAACAAAAGTACAAGCCACATTTATCCGTTACGTATCAAGTGCGGTATTGTGTGAGAGGACACAACTAGAAAGTATAAGGGAAGACCACGAGGAATTTCAGATTATGATTACAAACGATAATGAACACGCATATATGATGAGAATTATGAAAGATATTAGGAACGGGGAAATTTCCTCCGTAGTCAGCAACCATCAAATGAAATTTCCGAAATTTAGAAAAATTTTGGTTGCTTACATGCAAAAAGGTTTTTACCTGTTGCCAATGTTTGATATATATTACAACACTTTTTGTCATGATCTGATCGACAGAGAAGGAAATTCAATTGCATCATTGGCCTGTTCAAAAGGATACGTTGAAATTACTGAATATATTATCAATGCTATACACAATGTCCATTTATCAATGTTCCATAAAAATCTTATAATGCATACAGCATGTCGCAGTGGAAGTATAGGTATTGTTCAGGTTTTACTTGAGAAAGGAATAAATGTTAATTCGTTGGATATTTACGGCCAAACACCAATTCTAATAAGTAGTGCTAAAGGACATGGCCATATTGTACATTTACTGATTAAAAACGGCGGCAATATAGGACTACAAAATGATGATGGGATGACACCTCTTTTATGCGCAAGTAAAAAAGGACATAATTCAGTTGTTAAAATGTTACTCGATAACAAAGCAGATATCAACGAAAAAGATAATCAAGGCAAATCGCCATTAATCTGGACAAGTAAAGAAGGGTATGACAAGACAATAGAATTGCTAATAGAACATGGAGCTAATATCAACATAAGTGATCGGAACAGTAAGAGTCCTTTGATGTGGGCATGCCAATGGGCACCTTATTCAACTGTTATGCTACTTATTGAAAAAGGAACAGATATAAATCAAGAAGATTCCAATGGTTGGACGCCAATCATATATACATGTCAATGGCGTAATAATAGTTTTATAGTGAAATTCCTTATTCAGAATGGCGCTGATATTAGAAAACCAGATAATGCAGGGAGAACACCACTTATGTGGGCGGGTATCACAGGAAACAACTGTGTCATTGATAAGTTAATTGAACAAAGTTGCAATATAAACGAAAAGGACAACATAGGAAAAACAACAATATACTGGGCATGTCTAGAAGGAAAAATATCAACAATTGATTTGCTATTTAAAAAAGGTGCCGACATTAACATAACCGATAATGCAGCGACAAGTCCGATCTCGTGGGCGTTACATCACGAAGACAAACATTATTTGCGACTTCTCAGATATGACATGGAAGATAAATGTGATTAACATGGTAATGTTAACCTCCTCTAGGTCTTCGGTGTCCTAGGATCAGGGATTGAACCCTTCAACTCCAGTACACAAGTTTCCAAATTTATTTACATTGGAATCTGGGGTTTAAAATTTTAAGACTGAATTAGATGGACGGATGGATGATTTAAGTCCAAAGGTGAATTGAATGCATATTCAGGACGAGAACATGATAATGATATGAATAAAACCCTGCTTTGTGTTAGATCGATATACATTTTTAACGTGCATATTCTGATTCTTATTCGAGCCGACCAGCCTTTGATCTTACTTCTAAATGCCGCGTGCTTATCAGACGAGGATGAATAATTATTTGTAATATTTGCGGTACATGATAATTTTGATGTCATTATCAGTATGGACAAAAAAAAGTAAAAAGTTTGAATGGCTTCTGGAATGTTACTATTACAACGATTACAGATAAACGCTCAAACCCTAAATTAGATTGCGGGAATTTCATTCTGGCCATATTCCCGCAATCTAATTTAGGGTTTGACCGTTTATGACGATTGATTGATAACGTTTAATGGCCTCGCCTTGCAACATCAGGTCGAGCCATTTAATTTCTGAATATATTTTCATCAGACCTATTACTATTATTATGATAACGTAACGAAATATATATACAAGTATTCTCTCTTTTCCGTTTAATTTTAAGAATGGGATGCTAAAAGAAATAAAACGAAATTGTTATTAAACAACAGAAAGAAAGAACCATTTGGACGATGCTGAAGAACAAGTGTTTAACGTGCAGTGGCAAATATTACATGCATATTGGGACGAGAACACGTTCCGATGTTAAGAATATGAACCCTGTTGTGTACTAGACACGTTTAGTCGGATTTTAACGTGCTACTTCACAAGGCAACATTCCATTAGATGACATATAACCAAAGGACACATTATTCCGAACCCGAGCAAACCAGTTCATGATTCTTACTCCCAAATACCGCGAAATAGCGGAAAAGCAGCAATTAAAAGTGTTGACGTTATGATTTGACTTTGACATGACCGGGTACCGAACCGACGATCTCCCACAATCGAGGTGAGCACGCCACCACGAGACAACGTAGTCGGTCATCCTGTTTGATGACAACTTGTTATTCTTTTAAGAGAGGCTGAATATACCAAAGGAATATTCAAATTCATAAGTGGAAGACAAACGGACAACACCATGGCAAAAATATGAAAGACGACGAAAAGACAAACAACAGTCTACAAATCACAATATGGAAAACTATAGACTGAGCAACACGAACTTGATGTGAACCCATGCACCGGAACGGGGGTGATCTCAGGTACTCGGAAAGGGTAAGCATGCAGGTCCTGCTCCACACGTGACACCCGTCTTGTTGCTCATGCAAGTACGTTTTCGATGATAAGTATTATTCTGTGATGTCACGTTCAACGAAAAAAGGACGAAATTGTCTTTACGACAATTAAAACATATCTATAGTCATCTGCAAAACAGTTATTCCATAACGGTCAACATTAATTAAATCTCTCTTATTAAGATATAGAAGTATGCCGTATAATACAAGTGTTTGAACAATTAAAAAAACTTGTAAGTGAATAAAAACAATAACCATAGACACAGAGTTCGATTTGCTCAAAAACTTACTTATTTAGACCAAAAAGATTCAATCTCCATGGTAGGGTCATACCTTTTGAAAATTAACCGATGTCTGTTGGCCATTAAAACGCAGAAACTTTAAGTCTTTGACACTTGAGATCTTCACGAATGATCATCAACTCGTGTAACCTTGAAAATACCTCAAGGTTAGATGGTTAGGTCAAAGGTCAAAGTCATTGTTCCTAAAATGCACCGAACTATGTGCAGAAATGTGGTTTCTCGATACTAAATTGAATACGACATATGAGATTGCAAACTTTCTTGGATATATGTTCAAATATAATAAGAGTAAGATCCCTATTGATTTTGAGGTCACTATGTCTAAGGTTAAGGTCGTTGTAATTAGAAATAATAACAGATTGTGTACCAATGTATATTCCGGATGCTAAATCAAATACTACATATAGGATTGCAACCTTTCTTGGAGGTATGCGCTTTGGTCACATGTAATACGTCATTTTGTCTAAGGTCTATGTAATAGTTATTTCAGCAAATTTGGTAAGACGATATTACTGTCTAGACCCGTATACTGTCCACTTGAATTAACTGCCTTATTCATAACTTATTCATACCTTGAGAAGGCTCCGGGCGATTGAGAGATACATTTGTATCCATGTAATGTTAAATATTATATATTGTCCTCTAGTCTTAATTTTTGTCGTTGGGCTACTGCCTCGTTTAATTATTTACCTTTAGCCATAAAGATCTTAAAATCAATCTTATTATATGTGACCATATATTCAAGTACGGTTGCAATCCCATATGTAGTACTAGTATTCGATTCAGTATCTGGGAACCACTTTTCTGTACATATTTCGGTACATTTTTAGTAACAATGACTTTGACTTTTGACATGGTGACCTAAACATCAATGGAGATCTTCCTCTCATTATATCGGACCATAACTCCAAGTAGTAAGGTTGCAATCCGATATACAGTACTTGAGTAAGCATCTGGAAACGAAAATGATCAACCAACATGTCAAAACTATAAACCCACCACCACTTTGTATAGTGGGGTTTCGTAACATTTAAAATATTTAGTTAATTAATTAAACTGCAAGTGTAGTTTTGAGATTAGAGAAGATCTATATAAATTTAAAACAACAATTCATTTGAAAATATTTTCACCTTTTCTGACTTTTTCTACACTCATTAGTCTAAATTGAAAGATCAATCAATGGCATGGAAAAGGCAAATATTATTCTATGAATATGTAAGATATACATCAATGTACCAGCAACCCATAGACACAAAACACCAAAGGACAACTAGATTTTCACGATATTGTATAAATAGCTTAATGTCTAGAAAAGTTAAAATCAATTTAACAGAAATTATCAAAGAACTGCTGTCAATACCAAATTCCCTAAATGAAAACAAAATGTACATTCGGATTTAACAAAGGACAATCACTGAAGAGGTATTCTGGCATGACACAGTCGCATGAACACGTGACATGCCGAAACTTGTTTTTTTATAGGTTCATTAATCTCCAAATGTAGAAAACCAAAATAACATAAAATAAAATCAGGTAAGAAAAAACACTTGTTTTAATATGATACCAATAAGAATGCACACGTTGTCTCTTTTCATTTCCACGATATTTAGCTCACCTGGGCCCACAGGGTCAAGTGAGCTTTTGTCATCACTTTGCGTCCATCGTCGTCTTTTGACTTAACATTTTTCATCTTTCTCTCTGACTTTCTCTACTGTACAGATATGAACCAAACTCAGCAGAAATGTGAGTAAGGTTGTTCTTTATAAATGTATAATAAGTCGGGCTTGAAAATAAGGTCCTTTAAATGACACATTAACATTGCCTTATAAGGCAATAACGCGCTTTAATCATAACGCCTTATAGTTTCCTAATTTATAAGTCTAAAGAGCGTAACAAAAATTAACAAAAATAAACAAATTTGCAGGCCACCTACAGCAAAAGAGTGACTAGAAAATTATTTTTCTTTTCAAATACAAAGTAAAGTTACCGTTGCCAATCATATAAATTTTTTTTTATCAGGGATGATATTTTTGTAATATGTTGCAATGGTAACGGAAAAATGTAAAAGAATTTGAATTAAGAATAAGACCTAATTTGTATCATATTTATACGGAAATCCGGACTTATATATAGTGATATAAGGTCTTAAGGCTGCCTGAAATGGTCTGTGGACTGATATGAGCTGATGTAATCTAGATGTTCATCCCTGAAATGGTCTGTGGACTGATATGAGCTGATGTAATCTAGATGCTCATCCCTGAAATGGTCTGTGGACTGATATGAGCTGATGTAATCTAGATGCTCATCCCTGAAATGGTATGTGGACTGATATGAGCTGATGTAATCTAGATGCTCATCCCTGAAATGGTATGTGGACTGATATGAGCTGATGTAATCTAGATGCTCATCCCTGAAATGGTATGTGGACTGATATGAGCTGATGTAATCTAGATGCTCATCCCTGAAATGGTCTGTGGACTGATATGAGCTGATGTAATCTAGATGCTCATCCCTGAAATGGTATGTGGACTGATATGAGCTGATGTAATCTAGATGCTCATCCCTGAAATGGTATGTGGACTGATATGAGCTGATGTAATCTAGATGCTCATCCCTGAAATGGTATGTGGACTGATATGAGCTGATGTAATCTAGATTCTCATCCCTGAAATGGTCTGTGGACTGATATGAGCTGATGTAATCTAGATGCTCATCCCTGAAATGGTATGTGGACTGATATGAGCTGATGTAATCTAGATACTCATCTGATAACACTATCATTACACTGTTTTATTTCTTAACAGTTTATAGATATAATATGCCAATTATTAAGTATTTGGGACACATAAAAGGCGAATTAAGGGTATTAATAACATTTTTAAGATGTGGACATTAACAATTCACTATTTCGACCCCTCCTTTTTCTTCCCGGTTATGCCCCCTATTAAGTCCTAAATCGTATAATGATTTAGATTTTTTTTCAAAATATTCATTTCATTCATTCAAACCTTTCACATAAACAATTTGCGATTTTATTTTATGTTAAACAGTTGATAACTTTACAGAGTTGATCTCATTAGAATACTAGTATGAATTCGCTCTAATAATTGATTTAAATTCTCGAATAAGCAAAGCTGTCACTACATACTATTGAAAATTACACAATCGCCTGATTTTAACTACGGTAAAGCATCTTTAAATAAAAATCTGTTGACTCAATTAGTCAAATGTAAATGGCATTTTTCTGGATGTTGCTGAACCAGTATTGTTGTAAAAATTTAAAAGAAAAGGACATTTTCACCTTTAAAATTATTACATTTAGAATTACTGAAAGCATCAACAAAATGGTGAATTTATTTTGAAATCATTCAAGTCAACATTAGTTTACATATGTGGAACATTATAGGGGAAGATGCATTATTGCCAGGGGCGTCTCTAGGATATTTGAAAGAGGGGGCGTAGAATCAAATCTGTCGCCGAGCGGAGCGAGGCGAAAAAAATTTTGGACCTTTTTTTTGCTAAAAAACATAAAATATGATAAATTGCTATATTCAATACAATATTAGCAGATTACGATAGTTTTTTTGTTT